GAAAATTAGAAAATGATAAAATACGGCAAACGGCCAATTCTGCTGACAGAATCTTCAGATTAACGATCTAAGAGAAGCCTACGAAAACTAAAAGAAGTATAAAAAACCCGATCAATTTTTTAGAAACCAAGAAGATATTAACAAACCAACATAAGTAAAATTAGTTTGGAAAACCCATGTCCAAACACTACCAGGAATACAAGAAAATGATCATTTTTAACCCAGACTCTTAAAGAGGTCAAAAAAGCAATACAGGCGCTAGAATGCGACGATCTTACGAGCTCTTCGAACTGTTTAAATTAGATAACGAAAACATAAAAATACAGATGTATGTCATAACAAATATATGGAACGAAGAGAAAATTACTAGCTATTGGAAAAGGTGGATTATTTATTTGCAGAAACCTTATTCTAATCTGACACACATAAGATGAGTTGAAATATTTTCTTCGTTTGGGAAAACTGCTACCAAATTAATAAGCACCAGAGGTAAAATGCAAAATAACAAATATTTATTGTGACTTATTAAAACAAGCGATTGACTAATACAATGTGTTACAATGTATATTACTATAGTGCACGGAAAATAGAACCTTTAAAATTCTAAATGTGTTTAAAGGTGATTTTTGTTTGTATTCTGAACGGTGTTCGGAGAGTGAATGAATTCTTTCAAATTGGTAACTTTATGGAAAGAGGTTCTGTTTTTACATCATAATTATCGCGACGTCTAGACATCGCGATAGGAACGCAAATCATCCGGAACATAACCCGATTGAAAAGATGTGGACAATTAAAAAAAAATAAAGTGGCTGCAAAAAACGCCAATTTTAAATTACCAGTTGAAGAGATAGCAAACCCGAGCTAAATGAAACCCGGAGATACGAGTAAATACTTGAAAGCATGTTGAAAAATCTGAGAAAGAGTATTTCAGTCGAAAATTCATTATGAATGAAGCGCATGCATTTATCATAAATTTAGAAGACTATACCGAGTCAGAAACAGAACTGTCCTGAAACAGAATAGTGACGACGACGACAATAGCGATCTATAAGTGCAAATCATAGTCTTTTTCTAGCGTTGATTTGTTATTTATTTTTCCTCTAATATTGTTTTCAGTTCTTCAAAGGTTTATTTATAATCAAAATTTGTGCAATGTAAATAGGTAAACAAATTATAGATATTATTTAGCAAATGATTTAAAATTTATAAATAATTGTATTTAATTACGTACTATCTTTATTACATACTTGGGGTTCAAATGGAGTAGTGATGCACATCATAAGTTGTTGCTTCCAGATAGCACTTCTAGCCTCTCCTACCCAATTCCTATCCTCACCTACAAGAAGCATGATCATAGTCACACGGGTGAATCCTGGTAACCTGAACAACCCTACTGGATCAGCTGATAAGTGAAGGGGCACTATTTTTTCCTGCGATTAACAAAACGGTGTCAAAGGCGTATGAACGACGAATAAACCATGAACGGCATAAGGATACAGAAGGCAAGGAGAAACCATTGAATTAAAGATCCCTCAGGGTATCTCAAGGAAAATCACTAATGGAGAGTCAAACAGAACGGCCCCGAGTGCCTAGCGTCTCCTAAATTGGACAGGGGTACGAAGAATCTCCGGGCGGAAAACCAAACTAAATATAAATCGTATTGCAATGTGGAATGTACGAACATAATGAAAGAATAATAATTATTACAGTAAAAAACCCACCCAATAAACATAAAATTCAAATTTAAAAATCTATAATGACATATATTTATTCTTTATTCTATTCAAATTTGCAAGATATGACGAAAAACAAAAAAAAAACACGAAGTCAAAATAATAATGGGCGACTTTAACGCCAAAGCCGGTAAAGGGAGAGTAGAAGGTATTGTAGGGAATTATGGTCTAGGGATAAGAAACGAAAGAGGAGATCGATTAGTACAATATTGTCAAGAGAAAGAACTAGACATCACAAACAACACTTGTTATCAATTACCACCGAGGAGACTTTATACATGGAGTGCACCAGGAGGCAAAGAAAATAATCTGATAAGAATCCAAATTGATTACATTTTTGCTTTAGAAATGGGATGAAAGATTTGGAAATGGAATTAAAAGCGTGAAAACATATCCTTAGTGCTGATGCAGACTCCGGCCACAATTTACTTTTTGTCAACGTTAACATTAAACTGTGAAAACAACAGAAAAAAAGTAAAATTGAGACTAGATTTGTCAAAGCTTGAGGGTGAAAAATGTCAAACAACAAATAAATGAAGCAATTGCACCAGCATTCACAGAAGCTTTAAAAAAAATTACAGTGCCTGGCGAAACGTTTGTGGGTAGAAAAGAACTAAGGAAAACAATACAAATACAAATACAAATGTATACGTAACAATATGTATATGTAACAATACGAATACAATTAAAAAAAAATACAAGCAAATGAAAAAACTAGCAGAAACGCAGATCAAGGAAGCTAAAGAACGCTGGATGGATGACAATTTCAAAGAATTTACTATGAAACACGACACACATAACCTACATAAGAAACAAAGAAATTACGGGTAGTACACAAATTATAAGAAACTCCAATGGAGATCTTCAATTATCAGAAGACGAATAAACTTGGGAGAAATACATCAAGGACTTATTTACATATAATAGGGAAGAAATAAATGAAACATTACCAACCATTGAAAAAAACCATTTTAATATCACAGGTGAAACAGGCAATTATTACCTCAAAAAGGGGTGAAGCGCCAGGTCCTGATGAAATTCCAGTGGAAATATTAAAAATCCTTAATAGCGAAAATATTGAGTGTCTAACTAAATTATTTAATAAAATATACCACTCCCCATTAAGAGAGGAGTGAGAAAAGGAGACGTAATATCGCCAAACCTTTTCAACCTAGCCCTAGAAGACGTCTACAAAACTACAAATTGGTCAACCTAAGGCATTAACGTTAATGGTAACAAGTTAAACCACCTCAGATTCGCTGATGACATAGTGATTATAGCGAGCACATTCGAGGAACTGCAAATTATGTTGGGGGAACTTGCAGCCAGTTCCCAATACGTCGGCCTAAAAATGAATATGAAAAAAAAAATAATAATCACCAACACAGATGACCACAGACATATAACTATAAACGGCAGTGAGATAGAACAAATCCAGGAATATATCTACCAAATCCTGAGACTTGACAAAGAGAACAAAAGTGCGGAAATTACTAGAAGAGCAAGACTAGCATGGGCAGGATTTGGAAAACTTAGTTGGATACTTAAGAACCACAAAATACCCCAATACTTGAGGAGCAAAGCGTACAACCAATGCATCCTTCCTATCATGACATATGGATGTCAAACCTGGACCCTAACCTAGGCAAACATGAATAAACTAGCCACAACAGAAAGAACAATGGAAAGAGCAACGTTAGGTATACGACTGTCAGATAAAAAGAGGAACGACTGGGTCAGATCCAAAACAAAAGTCGAGGACATAACAACAAAAATTGCCAAACTTAAAAAGCTTCGCGGGCCACACTGCTAGACAGAAAGACCAATGTTGGAATACTACAATACAACATTGGAGACCTTACGAAAGTAAACGAACAAGAGGAAGACCACAGATGAGATGGGTTGATGACATTAAAAGAATAGCCGGAACAAATTGGAAATATGTTGCTCAGGATAGAGACCGATGGAAGGAGTTGGGAGATGCCTATGTCCAAACATAGACCACAGAAGGCTAAGAAGAAGAAGAGAAGAAAGATACCACGACGGTCAAATTGAAAAATAGTAAGACAAACCAAGTAGAAATTCAAAGAGAAGTGAGACATACAGAGGGTGTGCTGTGTGCTGTTCTAGTGTGCAGGAGGCACTATGGGAAAGAACTGAAGGTGTAAGGATTGGAGGGAACATCATTAATAACACAAGATTTGCAGGCGATACCGCAATCATTCCATAAAATATGCACACATTTACAAATTCTTATGGAAATCATTAACAGAGAAAGATAGAAATTATTAACAGAGAAAGCAGAAAGATGGGATTAACAATGAATATAGATTAAACCAAATACATGGTGATCTCGAAAACCCCTGTTGAGTATGGTTATCAAATTGAAGTTCTTCGAATGTTTTGTATGACCGCAACTACTATATGGGGTAGAAGCTTGGACTCTGAAATCCCAATCCATAAAAAAATGAATTAGACATTGCAGAAAGCTTATGAACACAATTAAAATAAGAAAAACATCGTATCTAGGCCACATGCTTCACGAAAAATACTCTCTTCTACACGTCATCATGCAAGGAAGAGTAGAGGGAAGAAAAGGCTTGGAAAGAAAGAAGAAATCTTAGCTGAGGTATATCAGAGATTGGACTAACTTCAGTGTTAAACAGATATTTCACGTTGCGAAAGACAGAGAAGCGTTTAAATAGTGATCTCCAACCTTCGTTAAAAGACGGCACAATAAGAAGAAGGCTATATTTATTAAATTATACCTTAATCAGCCCGCATCCTGTCTAATGCAGAATTCGAACGTAAAATTTTGCAGTTGTGAGCTGAATTTTACATTACGTGAAGAAACTACCGTGTTGCGCAATTTGGTAAGAAATTAAAGTACAATGTTTTTAGGATTCATTTTTTTTGGCATGCGTATTTCCAAGGTTCATGAGGTTTTGCATCAACTCTACATTATTTAATGATGGCGGATTCTATAATGAACTAACTTTTTTGTAGATACAAATTGAGTGATAAAATTAGATATTTGCAATGAGTATATGCGATTATATTTGAAATACATACAAAGTTTGTTCAGTACATGCGAAAACTTTATCTGTAGATTAAGTTTTCACTACAATTTTTTTAGATGTTTTTTTATACGAAGTATTATAGAGCTTTTACCGTTATCTTTTGGATAGTATATGTGTTTAATATAGTTGCATTAGTTTATGTTAGCAGTGTCGGAGCAATAATATAATTGTTTATTTTCCTTTTTAGGTTAATTCTTTAAATGAAGAAGTACTTAAAGAAATTGAATCATTGCTTCCGAAAATTCAAAATGATTCCCAAATTCAAGCAACCGTTATCATTTCTGGAAAACCGGGAGTCTTCATTGCAGGAGCAGATGTTAACATGCTGGAAACGTGGACCGATGCCGATGAAGGTATGCAGAACTGCCTGCGGGGACATAAACTTTTACAAGATATCGAGGACAGCAAAAAGCCATTCATTTCAGCTATTCAAGGATCATGCTTTGGTTTAGGCGCCGAATTGGCTTTGGCCACGCATTACAGAATCGGAGTTAAAGATAAAAAGACATCTATCGCACTACCAGAAGTTATGTTGGGTCTTCTTCCAGGTAATTTTTTTTTTCGAAAGACGTCATAAACCAGTCATACTATAGCAATTGTCTTGTTGTATATCTTTAATTCATTCATGATACCCATTTCAAAATTCTGGAACCCATATGTTATGGGTACCATACGTTTTAGGAGTCATTTGATAGTCTCCAAAAAGTGTTTGCCGCCTCCGATCTAATATCACAGGAAACGAAGCATTTAAAAATTACTGGGGGCTATTTTTTAACTGGAATATCTAAGGGAAGCCAAAAAAAAATGGCGTACCATTTCGCAAGCAATGAAATTTTTACTGCGTCGTGATTTTTTAGTAACATTTAAGCAAAAAAGCAACTTGATGAAAACGTTCAACACGCGACTCTCTTGAAAATACTTGCTCTTTAAAATGAGATTTTCCAAATTAAAAAATGTTTATATAAGTTATTGCAAATTAAACCCGAATGTAAGCATTTTTCAATTGTTTATAGTTATTGAAATAAAAAACATATTTAAAGCACATTTTACAATGTGAGTTTTTATGTAGTTACAAATGTGCAAAAGATGGGCCCGATCGATTGAGTAGTATTTAAACAATAATTCTATTTATTTACCCCATTTTAGAAAATGAATATATGGTTACTTTGTCAATACTTGGAAGGGTTTTTTGGTCTTATTCTGTTTATAAGGTGTTAAATTTTCATGTTTTTAAAAAATTATATTAATAAGCCACGTCGGTTCCATACTGTTAATGCGTTTCACCGCTTCTGGTGGCATTCCATTGAGTCCCGGAGCCTTTCGTCTCTTTAGGGCACTCAACTCTTCGTACAGCCCGCTCAGCTTCGGCGTCCCACTGCACTCCATGCCAATGGCCGGCTGGAAACAGCTCTCGGGTAACTTCAAGCTTCCTGTCCAGTGGAATCTCATACAAAGGGTACAACTTACCCTAAATCGTAATGAACTAGTTCATTACGATTTTGTACCCCTGACCCCAAACGTCCTCATAGAACTTGTCACACAGTTCTCCCCAGTGCCTCTTCTTCTCGGCTGGGATCTTCCTGTTCAGTTCCTTCTTTCGCACATTGTATACCTTATCCATTCTGCTAGCTTCGGTTACTTCTCCTCTATCTCTTGCCCTCTCAGCCTGTCTTTGTTTATGCAATTTCTCATAGTCTCTTATTCTTGATTCAGGTCCTTCTGCCGATGGTGGTTGACATCTTCTCCTCTCTATCAACCATGTAGAATACTCATCAAACGCTAGCCAGTCCGTTCTATCTCCATCTCTGCTTCCTGCTTGGTTCGCTGATGACTCCACGTTGGTAGTCCCTACTCCGACGGTCCAAAAGCCAATGTAGCGGTGTTCTGTAGCAGTGTCATCCGGCAGCACGGTCCAGTCTCTAATTTTTCTCACCGCATTCTGTGTGGCACAGGTGACATCGATATATGAAAGCGAATTTCCCCTCACGAACGATGGTTCTCGACCATTATTTAAGACAACTAAGTCCAGAGTTCATATCCATTCCATAAGCATTTGTCCGCGAGCGTCCGTTCTGGGAGAACCCCAAAACCGCCGCTTTGGCGTCCCCCCCCCCACTACACACTCTCTTTCCAATAATCTTACCTCATTCATAATCTCATCCAGTCTACTTTCATAATTCTCCGCTGTACAATTCGGTGAAATGTAGCAGCATACCACATTTATTCCCTCCACACTTATCGTCATAAATCCCTCATGCGTATCAATACCATATACTCTCAGTTTTCTATTAAGTATCCGCACTCCTACTACCCTCGACGTATCCACGAATCATTCCCTACTGCGCACTAACGTGGGGTTTGGCTCCGCCGCTATCAGGATGTCAATTTCTTTTTCGATTGCGGAGACCACAGCGAGGTCGTGAGCTAGCCTAGCCGTCCCAACATTTGTTTGCAGCACTTTTAACACACGTTCTCTTTCACGTTTATTCCCTATTTTGTCGCTCAGTCAGTAACCTCCTACCCTTCTTCCACCTTCACCTCTTGCTCTTCGGATAATTCCCCTGAATTTGGGACACCAAGTGGACGTAGATATATGACCTTCCTCGTCACAATTAAAGCACTTTACAGTGTTACTTTGACACTGGGATTGCACATGGCCCTCTATCGCACACTTCCAGCACCCCCCTTTTGCTTTTACGTCACAGTCTCTTGCTATATGGTCATGTGTTTGGAATCTATAGAATCGTGTCACCTTTACCATCTCCTTTACCGTGACGTGTACCATCCCAATCTTTATTCTTTCAGCCACTAAAAGTCTTCTGGCTATGTCCTCATCCACCTCCACGTAACAAATTCTACTTTCTCCCTCGTTTGTCCTTATTTTCCCAAATACTTCACATGCTTCCTCCCTACCAGCAAATTTCTCCACTAATTCGACGATGTCTTTTTCTGTCCATCCATGTCCGCCAGCATCAAACTCTTCTTTACTCTTCCACCTTTTGCCACTACTCTTGTTGCGCATCCTTGTCTTGATGCTAATAAATTCCTGACCTGTTCCGCCATTTTCCTGTCTCCATCTAATTCCAGGACCACACCTTGTCTGGTCTATCCTTGTTTATGACGACATCCTCTCTTTCTCCTAGCTCTTCCCTTAACTCTTTTACAAGTTCAGCATAGGGCTTGTTTTTCGGTTTTGTGATGATTACCATCCCTTTATTTTCTGTGGCTACTATTTGCATTTCTTTAAACGTTTTGCCGTATATCGTTGCCGTTACTTTCTTTCCTCTTGCTGCCCACTTTAGCACTTTTCTTGACTTTTTCTCTCCTAGTGCTGCTGGTGCTGCTATACCTATCTTTTCTCTCGAAGTCGAATCCTCTTTAAGTAAAACAAACGGACTGCGGTCAGTACCCATATCCAATACCCTAAAGATCTGGGAGCGGTCGCTCAATACTCGGCCAATGTGAGGTGCGCTACGGAAGGATGACTATCAGTTGGCGAGCGATTACGGCGTTTGGCAGTGTTATCGTTACACTTTTTCTCTGTCATTTCTTATATAATCCCTTATTATTTTTCTTGTTTAATGTGTCTTGTGTTCCATACAAAGATGTTTCTTTTTTTAGGTTGTGGTGGCACACAACGACTCCCTCGGTTACTGTCTCTACCAAATGCCATGGACCTCATTTTAACAGGAAAAGGGTTAAGAGCAGATAAAGCGAAAAAGATGGGCGTATTGGATCTTCTAGTCGACCCTTTGGGCCCCGGATTGGATTCTCCCGAAGCGAACACCTCAAAATATCTCGAAACAGTGGCTATTGGCGTTGCTAAGGATTTGGCATCCGGAAAATTGGTACCTAAAAGAGAAAAAAGCCTAACAGATAAAATCTTAGCGTATGCGTTGCAATTCAATTTTGTCAAAGATCAAGTATTTAGTAAAGCTAAAAAGCAAGTAATGAAACAGACTCAGGGATTATATCCAGCACCTTTAAAGGTAAGTTTGAAATCTCCACAATTTTATGAATAATTTTATCCCATGCGATTTTTTTACCTTTGCTTTCCTTGTGAAATGTTGCGTTGATTCCATTATAGTTATTCATTTGACTCTTCAAATGTATAGACGCATAATCAGTGGTAATTAAGATATCATTAGTCGCGAGTGATATCAATGGCAATGGCTGTAAGATATCACGATAAATTAAGGTAGACTTACGTAAGCGAAATATTTAAATATTTATGTTTCATATTCATACCGAAACGGACGACCTACTAGTCCAACAAAATAATGCCATGTTCGCAGAGAATACATAACGTTCACAAAATGAACAGTCGCTTTATAATGCATGGTGTCAGTCAGAAGACTTCATATGGATAATCAACGGTTGGATTAAATAATCGCCCATATAGAAAAGAGATTAGCACAGCTGGAAAAAACCGAACAACATACAGGGTTAACCGCAAGTTTTGATGAATCACAAAAGAAATTAAAAGCAGATAAACTTGAATACTGCACCGATGAAGAAGATTTACCGTATTAAACGGGCTGGATAAGGAACGAAAACAGGAACACTAACAAGAAACGTAAAATGGAAACCCCATTATCTCGTCCCTCTCCGCAAAAATCAAGTGTAGAAACACGAATTGAAAAAACAATCAAAAATCCAAAACCACCACCTCCGGTTGTAGTAGAAGGTTTTCAAAGTGCTGTTGACCTGAGCAAGTTCCTGACCGAGGCTGGTATTACCTTCACTATGAAAATCATAAACAGTGAAGTTATAAAAATTCTTCTTCTTCTTACGGTGCCTATCTGTTCCGGATGTTTGTGATCAACATGACTATCCTAACTTTGCTTGCTGCTATTCTAATATTTCGGTTGTCGATGTGTTAAACCACTTTCTCAGGTTTTGAAGCCAAGATATTTTTCTTCTCCCTGGTCCTCTCTTTCCAAATACTTAGCCCTGAAGAATGAGTTGCAACAAGCCGTATCTCTGTTCATTTCTAATAACATGATGGACAAGATATTCCAGTTTGCGCTCTTTGATGGTGTTAATAATCTCGCATTCCTTGCCTATTCTACGTAAGACCTCAACATTAGTCACACGATCCACCCATGAAATTTTTAAAATACGTCTGTAACACCACATCTCAAATGCCTCGAGTTTTCTTAAAGAAGCTTCGGAAAGTGTCCAGGCCTCTACTCCGTATGATAACGTAGAAAATACATAGCATCTAATGAGAGAGATTTTGGTAGGAAGTGGTAAATCATGACTTCTGAAAAGAGACTTCATCATTATGAACGCTGATCTCGCTTTTCCTATGCGTTGTTTTATTACACTGGAGTGATCCCATTGGCTGTTAATGTTGGTACCAAGGTATGTGTAGCTGTCCACTCTGTCAATTGGATGTTGGTTAACCAAAAGCTGTGTATTTAATATTTCGCGTTTACTGACTACCATGTACTTTGTTTTCTTCGTATTAAGATCAAGTCTGTGTTCTCTACTTATATCTGATATACGCGACATTATTCTTTGCAAACCGTCCAGACTATCTGCAAAAACTACTGCGTCGTCGGCATATCTAATGTTGTTTAGATGCATACCGTTGACTAATACGCCTTCTTGTAGTTCTCCCAGCGCTTGCTCGAAGATGTATTCAGAGTATATATTAAATAACGCCGGGGACAGAATGCATCCTTGCCTCACTCCTCTATCTATGGAGACTGCCTCTGTCAATTGGTCATCCACTTTAATATTGGCTGTTTGGTTGTAATATAAATTATAGATGATTCTCAAGTCCCTATCATCTAACCCCACTTCTTTCAAGATATTTATAAGTTTATCATGTTTTACTCTATCAAATGCCTTTTTGTAGTCGATAAAACAAATATAGACATCATTCTTAACATCCCTGCATCTTTGCATAAGCACTTGGACAGCGAATAGAGCCTCGCAGGTGCCTCTTATAAAAATTAATACAGCCAATAGCTGTAGATCATTACAGAGCTTTAATAGAAAACTTAAATACGAGTAACCTTTCGTACCACACTTATGAAAATAAGCAAGAGAGGCCAATTAGAGTTATTATGAAGAAATTACATAACACATAGCCACTACAAGACCAAGGACAGGAAAACAAAAACAACTAGATAATATGTTCATCCTAACATTTAGATAGGATGAAGATATAAATATATTTTATGGCATAACAGATATACTTAGTACGAGAGTTGAAATCGAGCCATTAAGGAGTTCCAGATTAGTCCCACAATGTAAAAGTTGCCAGGCTTACGGACACACGTGGAAATACTGTAAAAAGGAGCCAAGATGTGTAAAATGTATTGGTAAACACTAAAGATTGCCAAAAACCATCAGAAGATAAACCAAAATGTATTCATTGTAGAGTAAACCATCCTGCAAACTACCGCGGATGTTATGTAGCTAAAAAATTACAACTTTTATAACAAAGACAATGTTGTAAAAGTGCCCCATAGAGTTATCGAAAGCAAAAAACTAAAAACGGTAGAGGTCAGTGAAAATAGAAGTTACAACGATGTAACAAGGATGCAAAGAGACGTGCACCCTCGCAACAAGAAAAAGAAACTGATATTACATGGTAGTGGAAACTGATAGTGGAAAAACTCACCAAGATTGATGACAGAATAACTCAAATCGATATCAGAGTTACACGATTAGAGCATAGAGTTAAATGAGCTATTCCGAAAAATCCGAAATGGCTAAAGACCTCCGAATAATGGCGTGGAACGCAAATGGACTGTTACAATGGAACGCAAATGGGAGATCAAAGCTGGTGTGCCACAAGGGAGTGTATTAGGACCGATCCTGTACCTATTATATATGTGTGTCATTCCAGAAGTCCATGTCAAAAAGAAAAGAGGGGAGATATGATATCTCCCCTCGATATTAGATATAAGAAATTGTATTGCCTGATTGGAAAAAATTCAACATTATCCATTCATAATAAATTATCCATTTACAAGCAAGTACTGAGGCCAGTATGGGTATATGGGTGCCAACTTTGGGGCTGTACCAAAGCTAATAATCTACATATTCTCCAGAGATTTCAAGACAAAGTACTGAGGAGCATTGTTGATGCACCTTGGTATATCCATAACAGCAACCTCCACCAGACCTGGGTATGGAAACTGTGACCGAAGTAATCAATAGAACAGCAGCAAGGTACGAGCAGAGGCTGCATAGTCATGTGAATGTCGAGGCAATCCAGCTTCTTGACAACACTGAGCTAAAAAGAAGACTCATAAGGACAAAACCATTTGAGTTAGTGTAAATGTCCAACAGTTTAGTGTAAAAAGCAGAGTATAGTGCTGTGATGTTATTGCATATTAGTTGTAGTGCACTAGTTGATAGATAAAATAAGAGTAAGCCATATGGCAAGCCCTTAGATTTAAGTATTTGCTGTTTATTAAGTTAGGTCAGGAAATAACTGATAATTGGTCATTTGTGACCAGATAGCAGTATAAAAACACCGTACAGGTGTTATACAAAAAAAAATTACATCGCAAATACCTTGAAAGAACACCAATATAAATATTATGAGCCGCGAACTGCTCTACAATCTCACCAACAAGATATACAATCTCACCAACTTCTGCAAGGAAACTGTATCAAATAAATGATATGTTGTCACATGTTGTTGATTTAAAAATCTATATCAATAATACTATGTATATTTTAGGCACTGGAAGTTTTACGCACTAGTTTAGACAAAGGTGAAACCGTTGGATTCAAAGAAGAAGCTCGGGCTTTTGGACAACTCGCAATTACACCCGAATGTAAAGGACTGATAAGTTTGTTTAAGGGACAGACGCAATGCAAAAAGAACCGTTTTGGTAAGCCAAATAAAGAGGTTAAGACTGTCGGAGTTTTAGGGGCTGGTTTGATGGGGGCCGGTATTGCGCAAGTAACAATTGATAAAGGTATTCAAGTTGCCCTAAAGGATTCCAATAGCGCAGGTCTAGCTCGAGGAGTTAATCAAATATATACCGGTATAAATGGTGCTGTAAAAAGGAAAAGAATAATAGGGTAAGTGTTTTTCATCTTTTATATTATTGTTTTTAATCCACTAAAGGAATTAAAAGATGAGCTATTCTATAACTTTTTTTATCGTTTTGTCCTACAAAATGAAAAATAGGACGGGAGAGATTAAACGACCTTTTCGAACTTCGAGAAAAAATAGAAGAACTTTTTTTTATGCTCACTGCGATACGTGAAGTTCCTTTATTTACCCGGTGTCATATGTATAATCTTTTAATAGTGTGTAATAAAAGCAAGTCCGAATTCAGCTTAACATCAAATCGCTGAATTGTATTTGCCTGTATTAATAGGCGGAATCGACTTCCCTAATTCCTCCATAAGTTCCTATCTTGGGTCATACCAAGGTATGTACAATACCAATCGATATCAAATATGTTCCTCGGCCCTTTCTACTCCTCCCAGGAACCCGCAGATCAGCAATTGTTCGTATTGGATGATTAAGTTATAAATCACTTTGTATTTTTATTACAAAAAACTAACCGCACTAACACCCCACACCTGTTACCAATCTAGTAGGTATTCCAAACTCGTTCATCGCTTTCCATAGTCCATCTTTCGTGCCCGAGTCAAAGGCTTTTTCGAAATCAATGAATATCATTTAAAAGTAAGATTTTAAGTTGTGCTCAATTATTTATTGTTAATACAATTTTAATATGCTGTATGATGAGGCACATATTCTAACTTAATTCATTTTGTCGATTACTAACCTAATAAATTGATGACATTTTTTATTTTTAGATTGGAAAGAGATAAATTCATGTCAAATTTAAACCCCACTTTGAGTTACGACGCATTTAAACAAGTTGATGTTGTTATCGAAGCAGTATTTGAAGATATTAATATTAAACACAAAGTTCTTAAAGAAGTAGAAGCTGTCGTTAAGCCTGATTGCATATTCGCCACTAATACGAGCGCTTTACCTATTTCGCAAATTGCAGTTGCATCCAAGAGGCCAGAAAATGTCATAGGTGAGTTTTTTTTCTTTACTTGCCATTTTCATTTTCTTGGGGGACTAGGGCAGGAGTCACCAATTATATTCCCTGAGGGTCCGTTTTGAAAACCTACTACACTTTCGCGGTCCAACCACTCAGCACTAAACCAGGCAGTGGGGGATTACCCAGAAACCCTGTATGATCATAGTGGTTATGTAGTTGAAACTTGGCAACTAGGCAACCTCCTTTAGGAAGATAGACTCGAAGAGGGGATCGAAATAACTTTTTTTAAATCCACACTATCCTTGCCAAAATAGTCCACCACAGCCTTGTGTAAATCCTCTTCTGTAGTAGTTACTGATATTGGCAAAATAGTCAAAAGTTCTTCAACAAACTCTTCACTGGTTCTGTCCAGGTAGCGCACGAAAATGACAAGTTGTGCTGTATCTGTAATGTCGCATGACTCATCCAATGAGAAAGTAAAATATTTAGTGACAGCCAAGATTTGTTTTAATGTTTTCTGTTTCATCTGCCAATACCTGTATATTCCTTATGCTTGAAGTAGTAGATATTAGAATACGCTGAATAGTATCGACAACATCCTTTTTACTTTCAAATATTGAATTTCCTGCTATGAGTCAAATATTGATAGATCGCAGTTTGGTTTTCGGAAAGCACTTTTCTTCTTTCTTCGGAAAGCAATTTTCGCTCTCCAGGTGCTTATACAGTGGTGTAGAGACGTTAATAAGGACGTGTATTTGTGCTTTGTAGATTTTAGAAAAGCATTTGACAATGTCAGTCATGAACAATTAATAGATATTCTGCGAAAGACAGGTATTGACGACAAGGACATTCGAATTGTGGCAAACCTATACTGGGGTCAAACAGCAAGAGCAAAAATTGGCAACGAACTCACTGAAAGTGTGCAGATCAAAAGAGGTGTCCGTCAGGGGTGTATATTATCCCCACTTCTATTCAATATGTATTCTGAGGAAATATTTAACAAATGTATGGAAAATGCAAATGAGGGCATAAAAATAAACGGCGAGTTAACGAACAATATAAGATATGCCGACGACACGGTGATCCTTGCCAGTACCATAGACGAATTACAACAAGTAATGGAAAGACTTTATTCAGTTAGTGAGGAATACGGCCTGAGCCTCAACTTCAAGAAGACAAAGTGGATGCTGATAAGCAAAAAGCAACAACCTGTTCGACAATTACGGATAAGTAACATACTAATTGACCATGTAGAATCTTATGTGTACCTTGACACCAACGTAAATGCAAAATGGGAACAGACCATAGAAATTAAGTCAAGAATAGAACGAGCTAGAGCAGCATTTAGCAATATGAAAAAGCTCCTCATAAGGAAGGATTTGTCTCTTCCCCTAAAACTACGTATAGTTAAATGCTACATTTTTCCGATCTTGCTGTATGGCGTGGAGGCCTGGACGCTGACGGAGACGCTAACGAGAAAACTAGAAGCAATCGAAATGTGGGTGTACCGACGCATTCTTCGTATATCCTGGACTGAACATGTCACCAACATAGAGGTACTCCAAAGAATCGGAAAGGAGAAAGAAATCGTGAATACAATTAAACAAAGAAAGCTTGAATATCTAGGCCACATATTGAGACACGATAAGTCCGTCTGCTACAATTGATTGTCCAGGGAAAAATAGACAGTAAGCGAGGGCCAGGCAGGAGAAGACACTCGTGGCTCCAAAATCTGCGGAAGTGGTTCGGGCTCACATCGGTCGAACTATTCAGAAGCGCCGCAAACAAGATCAAAATTGCCATGTTAATAGCCAACGTTCGCAACGGACAGGGCACTTGAAGAAGAAGAAGAATTTCCTGCTTCCAGAAAACACTCTTTAACGATAGCTGTGTCGAGTCTCAGAAAATTTCCGTCTTAGATTTACTTATAATTTTACACTGTCATTTTATTACCATATTTTGAATTTAACGGCGGTCCGCAAAAACAAGCTCACGGTCCGGATGCGGACCGCGGTCCGCCATTTGGTGACCCATGGACTAGGGGATTTTATGGGGGTCAATAGGTCATAATATACCAATGGTTTCGAGAAATATCAAATGGAAAAAAGCTTATCTGATAAATATTCTAGAAGCTATAGCAGTCACAATAAGAAGAAATCAAGAAGTGCGAAATACAAAAAGGCATGCCATACAGATGTAAGACGAATGAACGAAAATAGGACTGAGAATAATGGAAAATTAACAAGAAAACGTCCTTTGGAATATCAGCAAAAAGTATTAGGAGACATCCATAAGGAAACTAAATTGCTGTAGCTGGCTGCATACCATGTATTACAAAAAATTTTATTTAAAAAATTCCTTCATAAAAGGTATAATATTAAACACCCCATCGGGCTACATCACAGAACGTTTTCGGAATTAATTTCCCATCATCAGTGGTATCCTAAAAGTATATCCACTTTAATTAAATCAAATATGAAAGTTAAAATGTTGACAAAAGTTCTGCTTTCCATATTCCAGGTACCAAATGTTGAAAAAACATAGGGTCCTTTATAAAAATCCTTAGTTCACCACCACTGAATTCAGATATCTGTATAGTTGGCTACCTGTACTCACAACTTTTACCAAACTTTAGTTCACCTACATTAATAGCCAAGTTACAAATTTCCTAACGTAATTTTAAGATAAATCATACTTCAAATTAAAACATATTGATAGGGGTACGGAATTTTCGCAAATAAAAAACATAAATTTCGCATTTACTTTTTTTATAATTACAAAATTCCGCATTTATTTTTAACTACGAGTAAAACAACAAAAGCTAACATCGTTGTAATTTCGACATTCGACTCTTTAAGAGGTGTTCTTCGATCTGTCACTACAATATTATATTTGCTGAAGAATCGTTCTGCGTCTACGCTGTTCTTTGGACTCCTGATGCTCTAGCAAATGCTGCTTTAGCAAATGACGGAAAACTGCACTATGTAGCAAGCAAAATATCTTTCACATTGGGATCTTCGTATCGATTGAAGGATTAATCTATGAAAGTGAATATATCCACCTATGTACTCCAATTGTACCATTGTTCTAAAAAAAGGAATTTAAAAAAATCTTTCTCAGAGTACACTCGAGTTCACACAAAAACTTGCAGCTCTACATGTATTAAATAACTGTCCAATGTGTAAGAAAGCCTCGTTTGTGTCTTTTAAAGTCATATGGAGAGTTAGTTTATTAAAGGATTTATCGTTTGCTTTCATAAGCATTTCCTTCAGTGTAGCGTCAATTTCTTCGTTTTCAGTGAGCAATAGAGATGTTTTACATCAAAATAACCTTGGCGATGTTGTTCAAGTGACGATTTTAAGTCCTCTAATTTGTTCCATAAAAGATGGCCGAATTGATAACTGGCTCCTTCCAAATCGTCTATTCATTTCATTAATTTTGGACAGAACTCGGTGGTGAAGGTCATTTGAATTTCTAGTTTACACATCTGAAAGTTTCATCGGCGTAATTGTCTTTTTCTGCAGATACATACTAACTGTATCCTCCACAAAAGTATTATTTTTTTGTTTTGCTCGTTTCTATCTCTCAAAGCCACTAGCAATTGATATTTGTCGCTTAGTTCCTGAAGTAGATGTTATATATTTTTTCTTGTTAATGTGGTTAGTCGACTTCACATGTTTCTGTAGTCTGTCTCTTTTATCACCTTCGAGACGAGTATTACAATACTTACAAATCACAATATTTGTGTCACACAGATGTAGGCCATCTTTATTTTACTATGAAAAACTTTTTTGATAGACTATGTTCTCACTCAGTAAAAATTGACAGAATGAGAACTGATTGTCCTGGTTGACTAAGTTATATGTTTAGAAAATAAGAATTAGCTGACTTTCATCCCTACTTCGATTTTTACCAATAGAAAAAACCGAAATACAAATAACAACAGTCGGCTTATTTATATTTCTCAAAGAATCAACATTGAAAAATATCAATTCTTTATTTTATTTTTAACTATTTAATGATGAATAATGAAAGATCCTTCTGTTTCAACACGTGTTACAACAATAAACAATCCTTTCAAAATATAAATTATTTCCATACCTTCGTAACGAGAGGTAATGGATTTTGACAAGAGCTATGAGTCATGCCGATGCAGTACACAAGTTTACCTGTTATTTACAAGTTCAATGCTCTTGTTAAAATCCATTACCTATACCTACTTATTTAGGGGTGAGTTGAGCACCTGCAGATATTTCGCGGAAATAAATAAAAACTCCATATTTCGCATTTATCGCATTTATGTTCAAAATTTTGACGAAATTCGCATCTATTTTTCGAAAAAGAAAATTCCGTACCTCTACATATTGATGGTTGCTACTGTTATAGCTAATGGATTTTGATAAGAGCTATGACCTTGTAAATAACAGGTAAACCTGTGTACTAAATCGGCATGACTCATAGCTCTTCTCAAAATCTATTACCTTTATTATTAATCAAGTTTTAACAGATTTACTTTTAAATATTGCTGCCGGCTGTCGCATTTAAACACATACCTCCGGTTACATTGACTGATTTGTTCCTAACTTCCGATTGCCGTCCTAACATGTCATTTTAATCTATGCCATCAACAAGTCCTCACAGATACTTCGTCTAAGGACTAGCAACCTCCAGTGGAGTCTTACGTTGCCATGTAAGCTCTTCCTGTTCTAACTTAAACATCACAGTTTATAAATTTAAAAAATATAACTCAAAGTTAATCTAACGACATTTAAACGGCTTTTACCACACTTTTTGTAATAACCTTAAGCCTAGCACTGATGATGGAATATTAATTCCGAAAACGTTTTATGATGTAGCCCGATAGGGTTTTTAATATTATTCCTTTTATCGTAACAATTTATCTCTAAAGAAATACTTCTTCTTCTTCTTCTTCTTCTTTGGGTGCCGTGTCCGTATTCAGACGTTGGCCGTCATCATGTTTACAATTTTTTGAAACCTTTCTCTGTCGGTTGCTGCGCGAAATAATTCTTCTACTGTGAAACCACACCATTGTCTAATATTACGCAGCCATGAAAGTTTCTTTCGACCAATCCATCTCTTTCCTTCCACTTTTCCTTGTATTATAAGGCGAAGTAAATGGTATTTAGGTCCTCTAATTATGTGGATGAAGTATTCTGTTTTTCTCCTCTTTATGGTGTTTATGAGCAGACGTTCTGAATTGATCATTTGAAGAACATCTTCATTGGAAGTGTGCGAAACCCACGATATCTTTAGGATTCGTCTATAGCACCACATTTCGAATGCTTCTAACTTGTTTAGCATTGTGGTTTTTAACGTCCATGTCTCAAAACCATACAATAGGATCGACCACACATAACATTTCAGGACCTTCTTACGAGTATTCATTGACAGGTTTCTGTTGCATAAAACTGGTTTCCAGGTCATAAAAGCCTTACGTGATATTTCGATCCTGGATATTATCTCTTCATCAGAGTCACAATTTACATTTAACCAGCTGCCAAGGTATTTGAAATGATTTACCCTTTCTATCTCTTCTCCATTAAGAGAAAGCAGACCTTGATCTATATGGATCTTTCCAACTGCCATCCACTTTGTCTTTGAAATGTTGATTTTTAGGCCTCTCTGATAACTTGCTTCACTGACTAGATTGAGTAATGTTTGGAGATCTTGTAAACTTTCTGCAAGAATGGCTGTATCGTCAGCGTATCTAATATTGTTGATTACTTCTCCACCTAGTCTTACTCCCTCTTGTCTGTCATCCAAAGCCTCCCCAAAGATTTCTTCAGAGTTCAGATTAAAAAGAGTGGGTGACAAAACACAACCCTGCCGTACTCCACGTTTGATGGGTATTTTTTCAGTGGGACTGTCTCCAATTTGGATAGAGGCTACTTGATTGTAATATAAGTATTTCAGCAGTCTTATATCATAGTGGTCAAGTCCTGCTGCCCGTAGGCAGTCGAAAAGTGTATTGTGTTGGACTCTGTCGAACGCCTTCTCGAAGTCGATGAAACAAACATAAACATTCTTTCGGAATTCACAACTTTTTTGTAATAGAACGCGCATACAGAATAGTGCCTCTCTAGTTCCTAGACCGTTTCTAAATCCAAATTGCTTATCACCCATCTTACTTTCGCATAGAAGGAATACTCAATTTTGTATAATTCGTAAGAGTATCTTCAGTGTGTGACTCATCAAACTGATTAGTCTAAAATCGCTGCATTTGGTGGGCCTGCTTTTCTTTGGTAGTGTTATGTTTATAACTCTAATTAGTGACTCTAACCAATCATCTGGTATTTTTCCTTCGTTGTAAATTTTGTTGAAGAAAATGGTTAAGCAGGCAATGCTTTCCTCATCCAAAAGTTTAAGTAGTTCGGCAGGGATTTGATCTGGTCCAGGTGCTTTATTGTTTTTGGCTTGCTGTATTGCCTTTTCGACTTCCGAATTCAGTATATTGGGACCTCTGTCCAACTGGTTGTCAGAGGCAGTATTTGGAGCATTTTCTCTAGAAGCATCCTCAAAAAGGTCAGTGATGTATCTCTCCCATTCTTTGCACTGTTGTTCGTGATCACAAATTTTTCCGTCCGCGCTTTTAAGGATGTGAGCATTTTTCTGTTTTCTAATTCCGGCAGTATATTTAAGTTTCTTATGCAGGTTGAAGCTGTCATGCTTTTTTTGGAGGTCTTCTATTTCTTTACATAAATTCTCAAGCCAGGATTCTTTGGCTTGCTTAATTTTTCTTTTTATGCGTTTATTAATTTCACGATATTCGATAATATTTCTATTTTTGTCTTGCCGTCGAACTTCCATCAGATCTAGAATTTCTTGTGTCATCCACTCATTTTTTGCCAACATGGTAGGTGTTTTCAAAGACTCTTGTACGTTCTCTAAAATCGAGTTTTGAATGGCATACCAGCATTCGTTAATGGTTCTGTTTTTGTTTGGTATATTTGATATTCTGTGTATTTTACTATTTATTGTGTGTGATATGTGCTTGCGCGTTTGAGGGTTTTTCAGGGGGTCGAGATATATCTTACAAGGCTTAGTTGGCTTTGTTAATTTCTTCAATTTAATTTGTATTTTGGAGCAGAGTAAATTGTGATTTGAGTTTATGTCAGCGCCGGGGTAAGTTTTTACATCTTTAATATTGTTTCGAAATCGGTGGTTTATTAGGATGTAGTCTATTTGATTCCGTACTATTCTGCCTTGATGTCCATCTTGAGGGGATTTCCACGTGTAAAGAAATACTAATACATTAAAATTAACGGATAACAGGTCCCTAATCAATGCATTTAATTTAATCATTCTGTTTCTTTCAGGTATGCATTACTTCTCCCCAGTAGATAAAATGCAGCTGCTGGAAATCATCACGACCGATAAAACAAGCAAAGAAGCTACTGCCATCGCAGTCGACATAGGTCTTAAGCAGGGAAAAGTAGTCATCACTGTTGGTGATGGTCCCGGTTTCTACACAACCAGAATTTTATCCGCCATGATGGCTGAAAGTATAAGACTGTTACAAGAAGGCGTGGATCCTAAAGATCTAGACTCCCTTACCAAGAAGTTTGGCTTCCCTGTAGGTGCCGCTACCTTAGCAGATGAAGTCGGTTTAGATGTAGCTGCTCATATTGGGCCTAATTTAGCACAGGTAAGTCTTATTAATGTGCGTCAATACTTTTAACACAATGACATTTGAATTTACTTCTTTAGGTATGAAAACGAATAGGAGAGTTTACTCGTTATTTTAGTCGCAATTAGTATTACCTAATGTTGAGCCAATGTTAGTACATTCGAGCAGAGAAGCACTGTAAAAATCTAGAGGGTGCCGGATTATTGGAAAGTTCAGATTACTGGATTGTAGAAAAATTCGTAAAAAATAATATAAACTATTTGATAAAGGGAATATGTTCAATGTATTTATTTGTGTTTATGCCTTGTTTAAAAATCTTTTTTTCGCATGTTTCGAAGAATTCTAATATCTTTAGTAGGTACCCCATTTTTCTTAGTCCAAGCTATGCAGGTATTAATACAATTAAAGGTTGTATCTGCTTTTACTTTTACAGTTTTGTAGTAATTGGTGGTTCCAATAGTTGCACTACATTTTCTTCTTCTTGTTGTACTACTTCATATATTTCTTTATCTATCATAATTTGCTCTGATTTATCGATCCCTCCAAACCAAGAGTTTAAATCTTCACTTGTCTCGAATTCTCTTTCTTATAAACTTTGAAACATATCGGTAATAGGTAAGTTATCTTCCGGATCATATTTTTCTGTATATTTTGATACAGTATTTGAGGAGCAGACTTTCATATCGCACCTTGTCCATTTTTAACATTGTTCAGGAAGTGAGACAAACTGTTACTCAATTATTAATAAAATTAAAATAAAACCACAAAATATGAATAAATGCACTTTTTTATTATCAATTTATTCTATTTATAAGTCTCATCAAGCTTTATTAGCTTAAAATATAATTATTGATGGACAAAAAGCCATTTTTTGTCTTTAAACGACAAAATCAAGTTTGATTGTCCCTAAATGATTGAAATAAAAATATGAACTGAATCTGCGTGTTTGGAATGCAATATACTAAAATAATCATATGACATGTATGTCGTCCTCCAGAAGACCAAACATTCTTCCCCATCTTCACATTGATCGCAGGTTTGGTCTTGTTCAATTGTCTTTTCACGATACTGCTCTTTCAAAATTGGTTCTAACCAAGTTAACTCTGCATTGAATGCCCTTTCTTTGCCTGATAAACTAACTGAAAATTTTGATAATCTATTCAGTTTTTTCTTCGTAACAGTATGCTTCATTGTCAATTCCGGCAGTACTGTTAGGTCGTTTTTTCTGTGGTTAAATTAAACTTAAAAACTTTTTAGAAGAGTCATTTAGGCTCCACTGATACCTATAACTTGTTTGAGTGAAAGTGCTGCATGTTTTATGTTATAAAACATGTTCCTCTATTTTTATCACCCACAATATGCCCACCTCCACTCATTTTAATATTATTATTGTGATCAAAAGCATAATATGGGAATTAATATAAATGGGGAAGATATGAACCACCTAAGATTTGCTGATGACATCGTTTTAATATCTGACAGAGTTGATAAAGCTACAAAAATGCTGCACACGCTCTATTAAGTGTCAAAAACAATTGGTCTTAAAATAAACACCTCAAAGACAAAATTTATAACCAACCTTGTAGTCAGCGGTAAAATTCTGATTGAGAGCCATAGCATCGATCAAGTAATAGCTTACAAATATCTAGGGCATGAGATTCGCCTAGGCCGAGATAATCAGACAACTGAAATACAAAGAAGGATAGGTCTCACATGGGCTGCCTTTGGTAGATTGAATAACATTTTCAAGTCTAGTATCCCAGTTTTCTTAAAAAGAAAGGTTTTTAACCAGTGCGTTTTACAGGTTCTTACATATGGTGCAGAAACACTGACTCTGACAAAAAGAACAATAGATAAAATAAAAGTTACACAACGTGCTATGGAAAGATTAATATTAGTTATTACCATCAGAGATAAAGTACCAAACTTAGAAATAAGAAGAAGAGCAGGAGTCACAGATGCAGTTGAAAAAATAGCCATGGCTAAATGGGCTTGGGCCGGACATGTTGCCAGATTAACGGATGATAGATGGACCAGAAAGATTCTGAAATGGCGACCAAGGCAAGATGAATATCGAAGCAGAGGACGACCACCGACTAGATGGACGGATGACATCAAGCGTATCACCACAAACTGGATGTAAGAAGCTCAAGACAGAAATAGGTGGAAAATTTTACGGGAGGCCTACGTTCAGCAGTGGACAAATATAGGCTAATTGATGAATGATATAAATGATGAATCAAAAACAACTTATTAAGCACCAATAATATCATATACTGTTGATTCCTACAATGTCTGATAACAAAATAAGGTCGTTACATGATAAAAAAGCATTGCAAGCAAAATAGCGCTATTTGTTTGTCTCTCTTTAGTGGACAAAATGCGTTTTGTTTGTCTAGGTGATTTTTGAAGCCAACAATATACGTGAAATATTACGTTTAGAATATCTAGGAGTAGGTAAATTAATAGTTGATGTTGTGACGAATCCAACGCCACCTCGAAGTCAGAATGTGAAAATATGGACAAAGTGCGATTTGAAAGTCTGCTCCTCATTTATTGTAAGCTATAGATTTTTTATAATTGAATTGTGGTGAGCGCGAGAATAAAACCTTCCAAATAAATTTTTTGAGGTTTTGAGGTGTCATGTTGAAAATAATGTAAATGAGCAATTTATTTTTATACAAGAACTGACTTCTACGACCTAGGTTGTCTTCTCCGTGGTATTGTAAACTTAAAAACTTAAAAACTAAACTATTTCACTTATTTTTGTTTAGTTTCTTCAATTTATGACATAGGACACTACTTATTTCTGTGGCTATTTGCCAAAAGTTGATATGTCAAAAATCATGGTTTTCCGCTTTGCGAATCATGATGTGTGTTTAAACTTATATTTTTATTTGCCAAAACTTGATATGTCTAAGGACAATATTAATAAAGATATAAGTTAAAGACTAAACATGATATATTAAATTACCTCATTTTAATATTTGCCAAAAGTTGATAAGTCGTCATATCAAGTTTTGTCACCATCAGATTTAAAATGTGGACGGATGTTTTATAGACATATCAAGTTTTGGTTACCAGCTGACCACAACATAACCTAATTTTATTGTTGTGCATTTTACTAAATTAAGGTGGTACTTTGGTTGTCTTAAGAAAACTATTAGTTAAAGTATGTCGCGTGGAAAGCTGTTAGTTGATATGGATATTAGCCAACATGAAGATTCGGCGGTTTTAGTAAATTTTGAAGAAACAGTATTACAGACTGAAAGTGAGGACTTTAAAAAATCAGTGGGAAGTGATATAAGAGGATTGAAAAAGTGTTTAGTTGATGCCGAAATTAAAGAAATAAGTTCAACTTCTGCATCCACTGGCCATTCTGAAGAATTAGTGTCATATTTGAATAGTGATAATTCAGATGTAGATGAAGATTATATTCCTTCGGCCACTTCATCTGACACAAGTGACAATGAGAGGCCAAGTAAATATCAAGCAGTGCCATCTAAAAAGTGTGAAACAACAGCCACTTCCAGTAATAATACGGATGATATAGTAAGTAATGATACTTTTACAAATAAAAGTGACGATGGCAAAGACCAAATAAATAGCTCTAATGTTCAACCTAAAAAACCTAAATATAACAGACTAGAAATGAAAGAAAAGATGTTAGGAGAAGAACATATTACAAGAAAAGGTATACAAAAACCTGCAAAAGTATTTTAAGCGCTTACTAGTTGCTGTCGCAATAAATGTCACGAGAAACTCTCCATAGATGAACAAAAAGAAATTTTTTATGATTTTCTTAAAAAAGTGCAAGACAAAGACCAAGTAATTTCTGAAAGAGTGAAGATTGAGTCAAAGAAGACAGAAAGAAAAGATAAAGGAGAACGAGGAAATAATAAAAACAGACAAATTGTGGTTTCCTATTATATTACATATAACGACAAAACGTCAAAAGTTTGCAAATACATGTTCCAGAATCTACATGGTATCACAAGAGGAAAAATTGATATTTTGATAAAAAAAAACAAATATCACCCACGGGTTTTATAGAACCTAATAGATCTGGAAAACGCCAACCACATAACGCTCGACCAGACGAAAAAGCTGAAGCTATAAAACACATAGAGTCTTTTCCAAAATATGAGAGCCACTATTCTCGAAGCCACACAAGTCGACTCTATTTAGCTCCCAATTTAAATATTAAACTTATGTATGATCTTTATGTATCAAACAGAACAATGCCTGTATCATATTCATTTTATGCTAAGATTTTTAAAGAACTTGGATATAAATTTAAAAATCCTAGTATCGATACTTGTAAGACTTGTGAATATCTAGAAAACAAGAAAAAATCCTCTAATAGTGAAGAAATACGTGCAGCCGTAGATGAAGAGAAAAATAAACACCTTCAGCTAGCAGAGATTGCCTATGGTGAAAAAAAAGCAGATATAGAGTTCTCCAGAAACAGTAGCGGTAAAATGGTTGTTTTAGTATTTGACTTACAACAGAACCTACCAACACCCAATTTAAGCACAAATGTAGTCTACTATAAAAGAGTGCTCTGGACATATAACCTCACCATCAGAAATTGCACTGAAAATACCACTTCATGTTTTATGTGGCATGAGGGGTTGTCAGACCGTGGCGTGGATCAGATCAAGTTGCTTCTTGTCTTTTAACCTTGACAGCTTAGTTGATACAGTTGAAAAAGTTGTTCTATATTCTGATTCTTGTCCCAGACAAAACAAAAATAACATTGTTCCAGGAGCACTGTCTTTATTTGTTTATAGATCAACAACCATAAATGAAATACAACACAAGTTCCTAGAAGTGGGTCATACTAGAACGGAATGTGATGCCGACCATGCAAGAATTGAGCGTGTCAAAAAATCGCCACAAATTGAAATAAGGATACCTCATGACTGGTACCAGTTTGTTAGAACTGTCCCCGGTAAGAAGAAGTTCCAGGTTATCGAAATGCAGAGGAAAGATTTTCTAACGTATTCAAAACTTTT